GAGAGAGAGAGAGAGAGAGAGAGAGGAGAGAGAGAGGAACATTAATCTGAGAGAGACACATCTATTGGTTGCCTCCTGCATGCGCTCCTACCTGATTGAACCTGCAACCCAGGTATGTGCCCTTAACCAGGAATTGAACCTGTGACCCTTCGGTGTACAGGCTGATGCTCTAACCAATGAGCAACACCAGCCAGCATATTTTAAAATTGGATTCTTTCTTTCTTGTCTTTTTATAGGCATTTTTTTTGTATCCTGTCAATAGTAACCCTTTGAATATTAGATGTATTGTAAACTTTAAAAAAATATTTGTTTTTTATTGATTTCAGAGAGGAAAGGAGAGGGAGAGAGAGAGAGAAACATCAGTGATGAGAGAGAATCATTGATTGGCTGCCTCCTGCATGCCATCGACCCAGGAACCAAGAGGCAACTCAGAATGTGCGGTGACCAGGAATTGAACCATGACCTCCTTGTTCATAGGGCTCAAAAATTTCTTAACTCTGACATTTATTCTTCCATGTGAATTTTAAAATTATCGTGTTCCATTAAAAAAAACAAAAACAAAAAGGAGCCTGGCTGGTGTGGCTCAGTGGTTGAGCACAAAATAAAAAGGAGCCTGGCTGGTGTGGCTCAGTGGTTGAGCATCGACCCAGGAACCAAGAGGTCACCGGTTTGATTCTAGGTCAGGACTTGATCCCCAGTGGGGGTCGTGCAGAGGGCAGCCAATCGATAATTTCCTCTCTCATTATTGATTCTATCTCTCTATCCCTCTCACTTCCTCTCTCTCTAAAAATCAATAAAAAATATATTAAAGAATAAAATAAAGGAAAACACTTCCAAATTCCTCCTACCCTCCTTCTTTCCCCAAACTGCATTTAATTCCTTTGTTACTTTGTGACAGGTTAACATGGCACTAGTTTTTCCATTTATTCAGGCCTTGTCCTTACATAATTTTTTTGTCAATTTCTTCATAAAGGTCTAGTATCTTTCTGGATGAATTAATTCCCAGGTATTCTATACTTTTTAAACAATCAAAACGTGAATAAGAGACATGTTTTGAGAAAAGTTCTTGATTTTTGTTTATTTTTCTTATATCAATTCGCTTACCAAATTCTCTTATTAATATTTACTTATGTTGAGGGGAGTCTCTACAACTGTCTGAGACTATAAATCGTATTTTCCTCCAAATAAATTCCTTGTCTCTTCCACTTAAAAAAAATACCATTTTCATTATTTTATTCTTTGATACCATTATGCCCGGATGAGTGTGAATAATAATAATGCGGTCTCATTTCTTACTTTAATGGGAACAGATCTTGTGTGACTTTCATATGCGGCTTTGGCAGATATCTTTATGATGTTTGGATAGTCCTTTCTTTTCCTTATTTCCTTCATTTCCTGTTTGGACCTTCATCTTCTCCTGGCTCCTGATCTTCAGCAACCACAGAATTGCGCTGACAAACACCGGCCTCGCTCAGGAAGCCGGGAGCCCGGGCCCCAGCCCCTCCTTTCTTGGGGAGCGGAGCATTACTGTCTTCAAAACCTGGCCCCTCCCAAGGTGCTCGAAGACAGGACAATTCCCATGAGCCTCAGGGCAGAGGACTGGGCAGAAGCCAACCTTTGCCACAGGGACTCCTGGCAAATGTGGTCCACCGTCCCTGGCAAAGGCGGATGGCGGTGACCACCTGGCTCTCTGCTCTCCCCAGGGACTGGCATTGACATCCCTGTCCTCCTCCTCCTGATTGATGGGAATGAGAAGATGTTGAAGGTACAGTCAAGGGCCCAGACGCCTGGGTGTAAGGGGCTGGGGGCACGGGCCCTGGGTTTTGGGGGAGGAGGGAGCGGGGGACCTGTACTTCAGGTGGGGTGAATCCCTTCATCCCTTCCTTCCCTGACCTAACTCCCCCCTTTATCTTGTAGCGGATAGAGAACGCCACCCAGGCCCAGCTCCCCTGCCTCCTGGTGGCCGGGTCCGGGGGCGCTGCGGACTGCCTGGCGGAGATCCTGGAAGACACTCTGGCTCCAGGGAGTGGAGGGGGCAGGCGAGGGGATGCCCGAGATCGGATTAGGCGTTTCTTCCCCAAAGGGGACCCCGAAGTCCTGCAGGCCCAGGTATGACATTGAGGGCCCGGCTCTGGATCCTGAGATGGAAGGGAGCTGAGGGCTTGGAGTCCTGGATCCAAGGGAAGAGGGTAATAGGGACCCAGACTCCTGGATCTGAGGGAGGAGAGGCCTGGGGGCCTGGGCTCCCGGGTTCTGGGAGTAGAGGGAGCTGGGCGCCTGGAATACCAGGTCCTGAGGCCTCCTGTGTCCCTGTGGCCAGGGCCCCGGTGGAGCGGGCTGGCGATGCGGAATTTGGTGTTCTGCAGGTGGAGCGGATCATGACCCGGAAGGAGCTGCTGACAGTCTATTCCTCTGAGGACGGCCCTGAGGAATTCGAGACCATTGTTTTGAGGGCTCTTGTCAAGGGTAAGACTTGGACCCCCCAATTCCTCCACTCTCTCTGCTCAACTTTGGACAGTTTTCCTGGCCTGGGTGCTTATTCATTCCCTCTCCGCTAAGGCCGTGCCCCTCTTCACCTCTTTCTTTCTCTCCTTCTCCTTTGTACTGTTTCTTGAGGCTTTGCATGGTGCTTTTGAACAGTTTCCCAAGATACTTTCTTTATATCCCAACACTGCTTTCCTTCTGTCGGATCCATTTATCCATCCTTTCATCCTTTATCCATCCATCCATCCATCCATCCATCCATCCATCCATCCATCATCCATCCACTCATTTCCTCCCTCCCCTCATTCATCCATCCATCCATTCATCCATCATCCATCCATGCATCCACTCATCCATCCATCCATCCATCCA